CCATTCCCACCTGGGTGAAGTGAGGAAAATTCGTGTAAAGTGCCTTTCCCAAGGACACAACGTCGGGCCCCTGACGGGATTCGAACCCACAACCTTACGGTTGCGAGTCCGAGAGCCTAACCACTAGGCCACCGACGCCACGCCAGAGCACCCGCCAACCACCCACAAATTGTCCAAGAAGGCCACCCAATGTTGAGGAGAAAAGTATGTGTTCTGGCAGGCGTCTTGGACGGTGTCTTTAACATTTTTTTTCAAAAACAAAAGGGGAGAGGTTTTCTTTTAGCAAGCGCTTTACGGCACTTGCAACACATTCAGGTCATACAGGTGCCAAAGATTAGAGGTGTTACAAGAGAGTAACAAACCCAAAATAAGGAAGGAGGAGAGATAAGGACAATAGATATTCAATTGGAAAGAAGGAGCAGACTACACCAGAGCACCCACCAACCACCCACCTACAAGAGAGTAACAACACAAAAAAAAGGATAAAGGAAGGATAAGGACAATAGATGTTTGATAGAACGAAATGAGCATACTACCCCAGAGCAATCGTCAACCACCCACATACGCTGATTTAAAAATATCGCAAAACTGAAGAAACAACACCCAATGGCATCATACACGGACGTTTCCTCTCACCTTGTGCGACTTGTAGAAACCCTCAGCCTTCAGTGTCTTCTGTAGCTCGGATAGGGGTCGGAGTTCATTGTGAAATCTCTCCAACACACAGCGCATGTTGGCAGCTGGGTAGCCCAAGATCTGTGCACAAACATTACAAAATCACCAAACACAGAATCTAAGATCTTTAGAGTTTGAGCAAAGAGAAAAGCATTGACATGACAATAATGCATCATTTAGAGCGGGGGAAAAGGGAAGACAGACAGGGAGAAAAAAAAGCTAATAAAGAAAACAATTAGCCCTCCAACCACCCGTGACTTTAGTTCTACACTCCAAATGATGATCTGATAAGCGACTGATACCCTTTTAACACTGTCGCTATCAAACAAACACAAAATTACAGACTATGAAACATCAAGCTCTGACATAACCATTTCCCACAGAAGAATATCTTTGCCAACTTTTTAAAAAAGTGATATACACTTCGTGGTCATAAAAAAATGTGCTAGATAAGTCACAAGGTACAACATTGCATGCTTGTTTTTGTTGGGATTTTGTTGGGTTTACTATAATGAGCAAACAATCTTTAAAACAGATTTGCCACTCATTTCTCTGCTAGGATACTCTCAGTGTAAAGCATAGTAGCCTGGTCTATCTCACATTCCCGAAATAAATAAAAATACACAGTCCTATCTCCGCCCCACTATGTGCAGAACACAGTGTCCAATCTTGTCCTCTGCCAACGTCTCTTCTCAACCTTACCTGCTGTAGGATAAGCTTGAACTCCTGCACTGTCTGCACATGGTATGCCCTCACGCTGATGGGTGGCTGGATCACGCCCCGGTGGATGTCCACCACGTGAACCTTCACCGTCACACCTGCGAGAAAATAGACCGCGGTCAGTCTTCAAGTCCATTACAAGCTGACACATTCTAACATGTCCAGCTTTTATTTCATGACAATTTGACACATTCTAACATCTCCACATTCCATTCCAAAAGGACACATTCTAACATGTCCAGCTTTTTATTTCATTACAATCTGACCCTTTCGAATATCCCCAGCTTCCATTCCATTACAATCCGACACAATCTTACATTTCTAGCTGCTATTCCATTCCCACACATTGTAACATTTCCAACATAACAACATTTTTCAAAACGCGCTGAGCTATGGTCAAACATTTGGAAGTAAGATCAGTGATGCTGTTGCTCATTGGTCTATACAATAACCACTACATGAGGACAGTCCCACAAAAAAACAACCTCCGAGGTCCTGTGTGCAAGTTATGCACGTTAAAGATCCTTTGATGGTCCTAATATCAATAAGAGTGGGCTTCGGCAGCCACCCGGTCAAAGTTCAAAATTAATCCTTACCAAACTGAAAAAGCCTAATGTGTTCCGTGCGCTCATTTGACCCTATGCAGTCGCGAGCGTCGTAAAACTTACAACTAAAAAAAAATATTTTTTAAAAGAAAAAATCCACACCTCCTGGCTTGTACTCCAAAAAGACTTGTTCGGGCTTCTTCGTCTCCAGCAGGAGGTCAAAGGTGTAGTTGGCCTTGACCCCTCCCAGCAGCTCCCACACGGCCGTCTCCTCCTCCCCCTCAAACGACTTCTCCAGCGAGTCCTGGTACTCGTCGTACTTCACCAGACGGCAACAGTCCAGGGGGACCGACGTCTGCAGGCCCAGCAGCTGAAAATAGTAACAACAGATCGTCACCGACGGAACCGATAGTTACAATAGTTATTGAACAGCCATTACTTTATCATAGAGCAATAGAAAGTATGCAGGAAAAGATTGCTCTTGTATGTTAGAAGTATATTTCCTGTGCTCTTTTCTAGTGGAGGGGGTGTTGTTGGGGGTTGCCACGTAATGAGAATCCACTAGAACAATTTTTACTTGTATACTTACTACCGTTCTATTATAACATTATCATGCACAATATCTTAAACTTTCTGTAAAATTCTTCAGTTTAGTTTTTGGAACTCTGGAATATTTATTTCTACTCTACGATATTATAATTATGCCTAATATCCAAATGTCTGTAAAGAATTTTCAGTTGTTTTTTAACACCTTGTAGCTGGAAAGCCCCAAAACTTGCACCCACTTCTCTGGCAATCTCTGCATAATATGTTTAACTTCTATCAAATTTTTTAAGCGTCTGTTTTATTTTTAACTCCATGTAGTAGAAAAGCACTAAAACTGGCACTTACTTCTCTGGCAATCTCTGTGGCCTCCAGCAGGGTCTTATCCTTGTGGATCTCCAGCCGGACGTCCATCTTGCGCTGATCCACCGGATGGAAGCAGTACAGCTTGATCTGAGAACACATTCAGCATCCAACATTTACTTCTTGCTATCAACAAAAAAATGTTCAACATGAAAGGGGGGGAGAACTCATTCTACAATACACACACTCATCACAAACTTCCAGAATACTTACTTATTACTTTATATGATATGATAATCATGCATAGTAACTTAAACGTCAGAAGTTTATAAAGTGTTTTGGGAGTAGGGGAAGTTTCATATCAACAGGAATGTTCACATGAGGAGGAGGGGGGGAAAGTCACAGGCTGGAATAGTGTACCAGCAACATTAATTTCTTCACATACACACAGCAGAGTTTGCAGTAGCATAAATTTTTCTTTTTGTTGTCTTGCCATCACAATTGAACCAACAAACAGACAATTTTAACTGTGCACAACTGTTAACCTTGCATGTAGATTTGTCAATTTCCCTCTGTCGTCTTTCTGCCTCTTCTTTCTCCTTCTGCTGGCGGAGCTCGGCTTTCAGAGACTCGGGAAAGTCTTCAGGCTCAATAAATTCTGCACGAGCAAACAAAAAAACCATCATCAGCAAACACAAACAACAGAGAAAGGCACCACTAGTTTAGAACAGCACGATTCCCAGACATAATCATTCAACATAAAAGATGATTCTCATTAAAATCATGCACCTTTCCTCTTTGTTTATAAAAACAAAAAACACTAGCGTTTTCAAACCAACAATTGTTTTCACTTATTATTAACGGATGATCTGCACTCAGGCATACTTCATGCTTAACTTTATTTTCCCTGCTCAGAGAGATCATATAACTGGTCTAGAGACCAACACTACCCAGCAAGCATTGACACATGGCTCGCCCTACTGGCCGACCAATACACGTCGCTACCTTAGAATTACAAAGTTTTATCCGACATATTTGGCTATTTTGAGTTACTGAGACCATGACATCAGAACCCAAATGTTCTATCTGCTCAATCAAAATTGTACGATTATTCAGGGCGTTATCAAAATATTCAAAGAAATGCTTTTGAAAAAGCTTGTCAAGTTGTGAAACAAAGAAATCGTATTTATTTAATTTCTCAAAACTAGGTACTGAACATATAGAACTTTAAGGTAACGATGTGTTGGTACATGTGTAGATGATATGTCCCAAGTTGTACATGCCCACGACTTACTCGATGAATATTTCCCCATGTCAAGACTACTGGAGAAGGGGTTTAAAGGTACGGCTGAAATAATTCTGAGAAACAAGTACAAAAGTAATGTAGACCAGCCCGTTGGTGAAAGATGAGTGAACAAAACAAAATAAAACTCGGCTCAGCATGAACTTCCTTTTCTTAGCAGTGTACAAGTCCAGGAAAGTAACTGTCATCAAGAACAACCCCCTCTCTGTGACCAGAAAACTTACCTGCATTCTGGGTCCTGTCGATTCTCCTGTACATTAACATGTACGCACTCGTGGAGCTGAAAACGTAAGACGAAAATGTCACAAGATAAAACAATAAACTACTCAATGATCACATTTAATACTTAATAATCACATCTTTTCTGTTACCTTCAGCTCAAAACCATCCATTAAAACTTTTATTCAAGCTAATCTACTCGCACTGTAAGAAAACCTACAAAAATAAATGTCAATATCTTACCAGATGTTAGTTTACCCAGCTCATCATAACATACAAATATTGCACAAATAAAACATACCTTATATTAATTTGACAAGAAAGGCAAAAGTCCTACCCATGCAAGAATGAATGTGTGAAACAAGAAAACAAAGACAAATATAGATGCTCAGTATTTTATTATCCAAAAGAAATTTATTTCCTGAGCACAACCCTGAAGGTTAATGCTCCAAACATGTACTTAACAGAAACCCTAGCCATAACAGTAACCCTTACCTTGTGTATGCTGATGAATAGAAACCTCTCCCTGAAGAACCGCCATAAGTTTTCCTTATGTCATCAAGGGTGATCTGTGAGGTGGAAATTTATTCAATATGTGAAACCTTAATGACACACAACTCTCACAATCTAGATTTTTTCTCCCATCTGTTAAAGAAAAATTTTACTTCAGTTCTAAGACAAGACTCATTTCAAAGTTAGAATTACCTGGTACCAATTTTTTTCTAAAAAGCCAGGATATTGGAGAAACTAAAGAAAAAAAAGTACAAATAGCAGACCACACTGGGCTGCAAACTTTCCAGATTTTCACCACCTATTTATTATACAGACAACAGGAGTTGAAACCTACATGAACAGCACAGCTTTCTCAAAATACAAGCCCACTTGCCAAGACTAATTAGTCTAGCCTGCACGCAATGCATAGTCAGTTAATTTACCAGATAGTCGAACAGGCTCCTCTGGAGCCTCAACCGACTTAATCGTCATTGTCAATTAAGCTTTCCTTCTCAAAACTTCAGGAGACTATCCTTAAATCTTTTGAATACAATGCAACGAGAGACAAATCCACCTACCCACCCACAACATGGGATGAGACAAAGCAACAAATCACTCACCTCTGATACCTGCTGATCGTTGAAACTAAACCACTGGCCATCTTTGAAAGCCCTGAAATAAAACAAATTAATAGATTAATCTGGTTCTTCTTTTTTGATTACCAGGTAGATATTACTACTAGCTCTTATATCATATACTTGAGGTGAACAAGAACTTGAGAGGTATACTATCATATATATAGACATGCATTTCCAAGTGGCTATGAAAAATATACAAGACAACTAAGTAATTCAAAGGAACATCCACTGGCAACTAAAAACAAAACTTTCAAGTCAAGCATTTTTTTTAAAATAAGCCATACACAATAGTCAAAAGCATTTTTTTTTTAAGTTTTAGTAGAGGTTTTACGGCGCTCGCAACTGCATAAGAACCCCCTTACTGCCTCAATAAAATATTGTTATGTGCACTAGAAAAAAAATTGCCCATTTTCCCGAGACTGTCAATACAACGTAGCCTATACGTAACCATTAATAAAGTGAGCAGGGGCACTTAATGGACGTTGAGTGAAACAAGTTTGGAGAAGACGCAGACTAGTACAGAATCACCTCTAATTAAAAAACATTAATACCCATAAACACAAAAGTCATTAAGAATATCCAACCCTCTCTCATAAATCGGTACACGAACAAACATCATTATACTTCAAGGTATAATTTTTATAAATTGTAATACAATATTCATGGAATAAATCAAAATCATCGCATCTCCAGCGAGTAAGAGAACAACCCCGAAGCAGAAGGACGAGGCAACACTCACTTTACGTAGGCGTAGTAGTGGCCGCCCGCAGCACTGCCTGAGTGAATCATGATGGAGAACAGCTCGTACTCGTATGGACCCTGGGGGGAAAAGTCACAAATTATCACGTACAAGCATAATACGAGCATAATCTACCACAAGTAAAAAGCAAAGAGCTTGCTGTTGAGGAGGGTTGAGGAGGGATACGCGCGATACAAAAGCTATTTATTATAATTTATTAAGTAACTTCAAGACTCCACAGCAATATCTGCATGTCCCACACAGACACACTCAACTACTACAAGAACTGCCAAAAGGGAAATGACCCAATATACACATAAATTCAACCCCATAAAGATGACAGAAAACATAGCAACGCTTTTACACAGCTGGCCTTGCAATGAAAAAGTTAAGAGTTTGATTCCTGGCTCCTTGGGACAAAACACTGCTTTCTTAGTAGAGGATTTTCCTCACTTTATCCAGTCGCAAAAGGATACCACATTGATTTCTTAGTAGAGGATTTTCCTCACTTCATCCAATCAAAAATGGATGCCGAGCAATGAATAGAAACGAAAAATGTGAATCAGAAATGGATACCACACTGTTTCCTTAGTTTTAGAGGATTTTTCCTAACTTCATCGACTCGGAATTGGATACCACACTTTTTTCTGAGTAAATGATTTTTCCTCACTTCATACAGTCAAAAATGGATGCCAAGCAATCAACAAAAATTAAAATTCTGAATTTTAAAAAAAACATAAATAAATAAGCACGTCCATTTTGTTCTACCACCAGTTCCCATCACACGCGTCTAGTTACCTTATAGTCTGAGCAGAAAGAGTTCCTGGCGTTGTTGGCGGCGGCCTCGCTACTCACGCTGGACGAGTCGCTGCTTGAGGAGGCTGCCGAGCATCCTGTCTCCACCTCGATACCCTCGTCAATGCCTGCACGGGAGACACAGACGCAACCTTTCAGAGGGATCATCAGTCTTTCTTCAACAAAGACCTTAAGTTTTAGCATAACGTACACAAAACAGAAGTAGGAGAGATGCTTGTTTGATAGGAAACAAGGAGCAAACCACACCAGAGCACCCGCCATCTACTCACAACAAAACGTTAAACCGGGGGTGACAGAAGCCACACCACTGACAGGTCCCACTTCATTTCTGTCCCGTCAGGGGTTTTTTTTCTATCCGTCTGTCTAAGTCTTTCCTTGTACAAATGATCATTATGTTATCAGAGTGCTTCTTTTTACTAAAAAAAAACCTAAGTAATTCACAAGTGCCCAGTCATAAGCAAAAAGACTTGTGATTCCTAAACTGTAGCACAGGTTCAAATTGGATAAGAATACATGTGAAATGAGGTCGAAAATTCAATTCATTCTGTGTGATTCCACCAACCCATTTTTCTTAACACTCTGCGCTATTTCATCAAAATACACCGTTCTTGTTCTTTTAGGTCAGATTGTACCGTTCCACTTCTCTCACCTTCGTCGCTGCTGTCCACCTGCCCGCTGGTGAGGGGAGATAACCCGTCTTCATCTGCCGTCACAAAGGGATTGAGGTCTAGCCTCTCAGGGAACGTCATTCTGAAAGGAAAAAAACAAACACAACATTAATCAAAATTAAAATATCTATCAAGCTTATCATTAAAAGAATAATAAAAGTACATTGCTAAATTTTGCCCATTGTCATCTCGATGAGATGCTCAGTGTGACTCACAATAAATAATCACAAGTACTTCAAACACACCCACAATTGAGACAATAAAAACATCTAATAAAAATGTACACACTACTCAAACATAATTTTTTTTTACTGATAAAGATGCACTTTTACGATAAACAGAATATGTTGAGAGAAAAATACTCATTTTACAAACAGTAATACACCATTGGGCATAAAAGACATGATTGTGGCTGACAACTCAAAATGTAATAAAATTGAGTCTACTCGTCGGACAAAGCAATTTTTTTTAAAATGCTTTATGGTTACAGTACATTTCCTCAAGATGAAATCATAATAAAAAACTGACTGACGTTCATTCAGTCCACATGCTGGTGAAAATTAACACTTTACAAACAAATGATCAAATTTGAGCTTGAAATGCAGGCAGACCACTGTGTCATTGAAATCATCGATCCTTCTCGCAAAATGAACACGACAAAGGGATATTCAACGTAAAAAACAAATTTGCAAATAATATAAAAGCTGACCTGTCATTGAGTTTGATTCTGTGCATCGTTGCGTAGTCAAAGTCAAAACGTTTAAGTTGAAGGGTGAGCAGATATGGAAATGAGACAAACTTGAGACCCTGAAAAAGAATAAATGTACCATCCTTTTCATAAATTATGTCATCCGAAAAACACCCAAGGAACAGACATACATACTTATATACAGCTTCAAAATTAAACTTTAATATTCAACTACACTGGCCTTCGAACAAACAGCAATGTACGTCAAACATTCTTCTGAACATTATTACATGATTTAAAAAGTGTTATCTTCAAAGTAGAGTTGAGAGCTGCAGATCAACTCAATTAATTTATTTGAAGGACACTGCATACATGCTTTTAAAAAAATATTTGCTTCATATAGCAATGTTAATATCCCCCCCCCCCCTCTTTTCAAAATAATAACCACTTGTTTATACTTACACAAACAACCCAAACCAAAAGCATTGCATTCTATATTTTTAAAATGAGAAGAAAAACAAAACCTTGTGTGCATCGCATTTTTTGTTGCATTTTTCACAGAAGTACTGGTTGGAGCCGTCCAGAGTCTCGGGCTGCACAAACGCGTTCATAGCCTTCTCCTGCACAGTAAAAAGACCAAGAATCCTTGAGGCATTTGCAAACAGAACACACTGGTTTCTCAAGCAGACAGCATATATCAGTAATCTTTTACAGCTTTTTTTAAAACTACACTATCGCAGGACGCTGTTCTAACTCGAATAACACATTTTTGTTAATTAGAATCTATCTCACAACCAAAATTCTTTCGGATAACTGGGGAATTCTACAGAAGACAACACAAACAGGTTAAAGAATGACATGATCTAATATGTCAACAAAGTTGACAATCATACAGATGATAATAACACTAATGTTTACAAGGAACATGTTTACCATACAAACATTTCTGCCCATCAAATTTGCTCATCATTAGTGATTTTGTTTAAGTCTAAATGTAAGCAAACGACCGTCACAAGGTCATCAGTGATGAATAAAGAACTGACCACTGTATCATGGGTCTCAGTGGAGCCAAAAGGTCGGATGACCAGAGGGATGTCGAGATAGGCGTCCACACGAGCACTTTCGTAGCCACACTGGGAAAACAAGAGAAGACACCATCCTCACAATAAAGCAAACTTTTAGTTTTTAGGTAAGAGTTTAACGGCACTTGCAACACAATAAGGTCATTTGAGTGCTGAAGATTGGAGGTGTTACAAGAGAGTAACAAACACTACAAAGAAGGAGGGGAGATAAAGACGATAGATGTTTGATAGGAAAAAAGGAGCAAACCACACCAGAGCACTTGCCAACCACCCACATAAAGCAACCAGCACATATATCTCAAACACTTACAATATCTTTTTAAAATCCAACAGCTCACAACTCTCACCTACATTCACTATCATTTAAAAGCATAAAAGGGCTTATTCACACATGAAAGAGAGTTAAATAGATAAAGTGGTCTCTTTCACATGTGTTTTCATATAAACAAAAGGAATTTCACCAATTTTACACAATACAAACAAAGTCTTGAAACACAGATTTGCCAAATAAAGATACTCATTTAAAGTGAAAATATTTTTTCAATCACATGCAACTAGAACACTGTAACCAGAGCCACCTCAAGATCTCAATGTACTAGAAGGCCAAAAACCACAACCACCTCAAGATCCCCTGTAACTGAAGGGTAGAAACCACAACTACCTCGAGACCCCTGTAACTAGAAGGCCAAAGACCATAACTTTCTTGAGACCCCTGTAACTAAAAAGCCAAAAACCACTACTACCTCAAGATCCCCTGTATCTAGAAGGTTGAAACCACAACTACCTCAAAATCCCCTGTAACTGAAGGGTCGAAACCACAACTATCTCAAGACCCCTGTAACTAGAAGGCCAAAGACCACAACTACCTTGAGACCCCTGTAACTAGAAGGCAAACACCACTACTACCTCAAGATGCCCTGTAACTGAAGGGTCGAAACCACAACTGCCCTGAGATCCCCTGTACCGAAAAGGCCAAAAACCACAGATCCCCTGTAACTAGAAGACTGAAGCCGAGGCTACCTCTAGACACTTGACGTAGTCCTTCATCTTGCCCTGGTACAGCTGGTTGATCAGGTTGGCCTGCACCGTGTTCTTCCAGTTCTGCTCCAGGGCGTCAAACATCACCCGGCACAGCTCCTGCACGTCATGTTGCTGCCATACTACAACACACACACACAAGTCATACACTCATTGATGGATTGTTTTGTTTTTAGTAAGCGTTTTACAGCACTTGCAACACAATGAAGTCATATAAATGCTGAAGATTAGAGGAGAGTAACAAACATAAAAAACAAGGGAGGAGTGACAGGGACAAGAATTGTTTGATAGGAAAGAAGAACCACACGAGAGCACCCGCCAACCACCCACTCAGTGACAGAAGAATAGAGCAAAAGCTAATAATTCACAGAACACAGTATGAAACCATCTCCAAAAACAACATTACAATTCAGGGCCACACTGTAAATTTATAATCAGAGCAAGTTATGGCCGCTCATACTTCTCCAAAAAAATTTTTTTTTTTAAATAAAGAAAATTTGACATGTGAAAGAATTAAATAATCATGTGATTCGAAATGCCTGACATAGAAAGCTTGATATCCAACCTCAAGTTAGACCCCACCCTCACCCCCCCAAGAAATGTATCTTCGAACACAAACCTACTCGAGTCATCAAGCATTTACACAACAGTTAAATTCAATCATTTATCTCAAGTGCAATGATAACTAGCTCCTCACACCTCTTACCTTCGCTACTGTCCCAGCCAAAACTGCGAGTCAGGTCTGTGGTTTCAACTGCTCTCTTCTTACTTGTCTGTGGGAGGGGTAAAAACACAGCAATATATATCCAGTACAAGTATAATAATATTCTTCATAAATCTGTCCAGCTTTACTTACACTTATATCATAAAAGTTCCAATTACCAAAAGATTTCTTCAGCAGCATTTCTGTACATTATTCTAAAAGAAATCAGAAAACTGCACAATTGTTTCTGAAACCCAAACAACAGTTTCCTTTGCATTGTGAATAACACATAAACCCTTACCATGTGACTTCTACCCAAAAGTCATATGGTAATGAAACATAAATCAGTACATTTTTAAGATATTCCCAGTTTTTGTTTTGGTAGAGGTTTTACAGCGCTCGCAACTGCATAAGGTCATATGAGCGCCAGAAGATTACATATGTTACAAGAGAGTAACAAACATGAAAAAGAAGGAGGGGAGATAAGGACGATAGATCTATGTTTGATAGGAAAGAAGAAGCAAACCACACCAGAGCACCCGCCAACCACCCACAGATATTCCCCACTGTTTGATTTATTTGTTTGCATATAGAGAAGTATATCGAAACAGCGACAAACAATTAATTGGAACAAAAAATTACGGTACACAGAAACAAATTAAAAGAAAAAGTAAGATCAACCAATGGCACCCTCAAACTACCCTCTATTCCATATCGCAGAATATGGTAGTAGCTCCGACATCAATAAGAAAGAAAGACACAGGGACAGTTTCAAATTCACCTGTAATTGCAAAAACAGTCGCTGCAGTTGATAGGGTATACTCTTCACAGCCTCATCGCTGGTGCCCTTGAAAGACCACCTGGAAAGACAAAGAAGCGCCAAAGTGGTCACAAAGTCGTAAAAATATACAACAAATCAAGGCTTTCTGTTTGCTTCACACTAAAGCCCCCCACTATTTCTATGGTGTTCCAAATTAGTGAGTACAGTGAAGATTTTCAAATTAACTAACGTAATATGAAAGTCCAGAAATAAAACAGCTTAAACACAAATTTAAACTAAGTAATTTTCAAGTATTAGTAAAAGTTTTACAGCACTTGCAACACAATAAGGTCATATAAGTTCCGAAGATTAGAGGTGTTACAAGAGAGTAACAAGCACAAAAAGGGAGGAGGGAGGGAGGGAGAGATAAGGACAATGGATGTTTGATAGGAAAGAAGGAGCAAACAACACCGGAACACCTGCCAACCTACACCCCATAAAATCAAGTATGTACTACGTAGAGAAGACACATGCTCCCCGACTTTAAAAAGTCTATAAATTGATCCAGTTTTCAGTTCTACAGCTGGGAGCGTAAGACCATCCAAAAAACAACAACAACAAAAACTTTAAAGTGTCAACTGGTAACAACAAAAACAACAACAAAAATAATCTTTTATTCCAACAACTTTCGGACCCGAAGGAAACTCCCCCACAGGGATTCAAAATTTACTGATCAAATTTTCTAATAATAAAATCTTGTATTAAGACTATGTCTTATATCCACTTACAGAAAATTGGACACAATTATTAAATCAAATTTTCTTTCCATCATCTTGACCACCTTATATATATATATATATATATATATATATATATATAAATAAAATGTTCACTGTACCTGTACAATGCATTGCGGAACTCTGGAGTCATATACAGGGTCTGCAGAAGGCTGTTTAAGTAGCACGTCATGGCTTGATTGACCAGGCCCAGATACCCTGAGGGAAGAACAACAGAACATGACACTTTCTTATAGTAGAGGGTTTTACGGCGCTCGCAACTGCATAAGGTTATATGAGCGCTAAGGGGTGGGTGTCAACAGAGAAGTCTTTACAGGGGAATCAGACTTACACTGCTCACCTCTCTAGCTTCAACAGCACAAGGTCTGCTTCGACTATCAAGGCACCCCGGAAATAGCAGGTCACACGAGAGTGACAAACATACAAAAGAGGTAGAGGAAATGACAATAGTAAGGATTAGGAAAGAAAAAGCAGCAGTTCCCTGTTGTAGATCAGGCACAGTTATGAGCATGACACGAGTCAGCCCATTTACAATTCTACTATGCTTGAACGAGAAATGTCCCCCCTTCGGGAATGGCCTTAAAAGAGAAATGTCCCCCCTTTGGGAATGGCCAAAAGACACGACATGACACTTTCACAGCAGAAACACGAACAAAGACCAAAAAAAAAAAGGATAAAAGTTTCACATGAGAATCATACTCCCACCACCCAAAATCATAGAAAATGTCTTATTTTAAATAAAGTTTAAGATCACCAAGTGGCACTGCTGGGCCTAAAATGTTTCCCAAATACTTATCGTAACCAACACTGGAATCATGCTCTTACAGAAAAACATTGTTACAAAAATCACAGAAGCGTACCTGTCTGCTATCTAAGGAAAACACAAACATCCTGGCCAAATGTTGAGGAGAACTGAAAAGCAACAACTCATCGTCTAAACAAATTCTGGGCTCAGAAAAATTTGCTATTGCTTCATGGAAAATTTTCTCGATTTTCACACAGACCTCAATTGAAGAGAATCTTGTTTTAGCAGAGGTTTTACAGCACTCGCAACTGCATACGGTCATATGAGCGCCAGAAGAATAGAGGTGTTACAAGAGAGTAACAAACATAAAAAAGAAGGAGGGGAGATAAGGACGACAGATGTTTGATAGGAAAGAAGAAACAAACCACACCAGAGCACCCGCCAACCACCCACTTGAAGAGAATCTTGTTACGAGGCATACAAATGACATTATCAGTTGGAACATATCCCAGGTATCTAAGGCAACGTAACTGTCTCCAAGCACAGCTTAAACAACAACAAATACGCAGTAAAAAGAACTCACCCGTCTCTGACTTAATGAGGGCAGAGCTGGAGGAGGAATGTGGCAGGTCAACGGAGAAGTTGCCAGGAAATGACAATTTCCCGGAGAAGACATTTCCACTGCGGTCTGCTGCATCTCCCTGTTGTATTTACAAACATATTGACTATGTGACATCTTTTATTGAAAAGGAAACATTATTTTCATTGCAAATGTGTACACAGATTATGTTAACAGTCCCACAAAAGAAAACTATCTTTAAATCACTTTTATTTTATTAACTATAATTAAACAGAATAAAAACAAATGAAGGAAATAAAATATCACAGAAAGTTTTTCAACTGCAAAGACAACGCACGGAAGCGCACTTAACAATTACCAGTTTTTCGGGGGAAACACCTTCCAGTTCGTGAATCGTAAAGTTATGTCTCTTGGCTCCACTGCAGCAAACATTTCTCAGGGAGACATCAGCATCTTGTTCTTCCAATAGGATCTGTAAAGAAGCAAAACATACAATAGATTACTCATGAGGAAACCGAGACCAAACTTTTACACCTTCCCATGAAGATCCCATTCCATTTCTATTTCATTACAGACACAAATAAATAGGGTGGGGTTGGGGAGGGGAGGGGGGAGGTGGAAAGTGTTCAAGTGTAGCCTATACCCTGAGGCAGGGTGAGAGAGACAGCGATGGGGGAGGAAGGAAGAAAGTGGTGTTCGTGTGTGGCATATACCCTGATGTAGAGCGAGAAAGGTGAGAGATGGGGGTGGAAGGAGTAAATAGATATCAAAGTAAAAAAATTTTTAACTCTACGTACATCGTCACTGCCTCCTTGCTGCTGCTCGTAATGCACAGAGACGGTGTTCTCCTTGTAGCCGCAGGAGCGGGCTATGTCTTGAGCCGCCTGCTGGGCCGACAGGGATGCCTGGAGGTTGAGGCTCTGTTTGCCCGTCTGCCCGCCATGGCTGTCCACAAAGTCTCGTATGATACAAAGCACTTTGTCATCATCTACAGGAGATGCAGCAACCACGCTGGATCTCTGAAAGATAGGCCAAAAAGTATCTCAACAATTAGAATACAGAATTTAACTCGTTATTAGATAATATGAATTCAGTAAAGTATTCAATTCTAGAAGAAAAAAAAATAGAACTTTCCAAGCACACCATCTTCACACAAATCTAAATCATAAAAAAGGTATGACATGAAGAGATTCGGAATCAGTTTAATAAATAACAGTGGAAAGATACCAGAACAATTGTGGTTGAAAACAAGACTACAAAAGTATGACATTTTTATCAATAATGAACATATTCCTTTTTTTTTTTACGAAAGCCGATTCATTTCAAACATATTTACTTCTCTACTCCCTCCCATGTTTACGTCTGTGTGAAAGTCTGAGCATCTTTTCCCTCAACGACAAAATGAAGCTACCTGTACAGTAGTTTGAACATCTTTTCCCCCAGCAGTGGGTAGATGGAACAATGTGTTCATGTTTAACACGTGTCGTATGAGCATCCTATCCCTCAAAGACCAGATGTAACAAAACGTGCATGTTTGACACCTGGAGTTAGAGCACTTTTTCCTTACATTAAAAAGCCAAAGACCTCAATTGCCTTAGTATCAAAACAGTATTTCTTTTAATTTCAGAAGAAGAAACTGTTGAAAAAATGTGATCTGAAGACAAAAAGTGTTTCAGATTCATTGCATTAAAAAAACTGAACCATAAGATTAAGATCATAAGACAAGTCAAACTAAGGATTCAGATTCAGACAGACAGAGATGAAAAAATAAAAGATGCCTCTCTTAATAAAGAAGCCTGGGGCTACTGTCTTTTTCAGTAGCTTGCAAACAGCAAAAAAGCATAAGAATTTATAAATCCCAAATAAACAAGAAAAATATTTTTTCAGTAACCGGAAATATCCTTAAATTCTTTGTGTCCAATTAAAATTTTAAAACAAAATACTAAGCTGTCCCCAAAACTACCATCTCATGTATTATTGTACTTAAACATATATTGCTTGGCTTTCCTCCACTTTAAAGCAAAAATAGTACGCTTCACCATTTACAGATTCAAAGCACATTTTGGACTGTTTTGCTTCACACTAACAAATACCTGTGTTGTTCTTGCAGTTACCATGGGCACTATTCTACCCAGTCTCACTGACCGAGTACAGTAGTACTGTATCCTGTTTAAAGGAAATTTTAAACAAACTTAAGTTGTATGCCCCATTTGCCCATGATACCTAATCAAAGTGATAATTTAGCCTGCTTAGCTCTCGGCCTCACAGTCAAATCACCCAACATGTTAACAAGACAAACGGCCACACCTCTCCTTAAGCTTTGCATCAGGGGAGGTGCTTCTCTCATCTTCTTTTTTTATTTTTAGGTTAATTTCATGTCTTTAGTTTCTGCCACCCTTCCTAATATGGGGGGCCCATAGACGATGGGATCGGGTCTGGTCGGGTGCGATCGCCCCACTAATTGCCTGGAAACAAATGCATTTGTTTTTGAGGCGACAAGTGGGACGCAACCGGCTTGTGCCATGGATAGCCGTTTTGTGCCCTCAATCTGGCTAGCAAACCGCCCCGACCCCCCAATAATTAGTAACGGGGCACCCCCGTAGGCTATTAGAAATGAAACTTCTACTTCTACATCAAGAAATGTAGGCCCCTATGTCAAAATCCCTTCCAGCAACAAACTGGTCTACTACATTGAACACTTGCCTGCACTACTGACTACTCCTTTTCGAATCTTGAAAAAAGTGGATCCTTTAACTTAAACTTTTGGCCACCTCTATTCTCACCCGGAGTGAGAATTGTGCAGGCGAGTCTTGTGGCTATTCTCACCCGGTGCACGTTCACCAAATTTTGCGTTCACCCTAAACCACAGAATTCTGCACTGTGATAACAGAAAAATTGTAGAATTCTGTGCCGTGAACAAACGTTCCATTACAACTGTAGCCTACTAAAAGCGTACAATTTTGTCTGTGGGCAGTGGAGAGAGAGAGAGAAAGAGAGAGAGGAGTAGCACGAGAATTTCCAGGCAAAACAAAATGGCGACCCGCGTAGTTCGGCTCGATTCGAAAAGTTAAATAGCCGTAGCATCTTTGTAGACAACCAAATTAATTTACTTTTGTGTTTTAACATCATTTTTTAACTTTGTTTTGGTCAATTTGATCGTCCACACCGATAGACAGTATTCAGAAAGAGACAGAGAGAGAGAGAAGAGGGGAGGAGTTGATCTTGCGAGAACTTCCGGGCAGGTGAGAATAGCCACTTTCTGAACTTTTTGGGGGAGGAATTGCGTAACGAGCCACCACTATGAAGTAGAATAGAGGGCTAGGGGTAAGGGTAGGGGTAGAGTTTGGGTTAGGGTTAGCGCTGGGTCTCTTCTTTATTGTGTTTGTTGGGGTGGTCACTAGAGTCTAGTTACGGAAGACATGAAAGCTACCTACAGCGAGGTGACTGGCCCAAATATAATATAGATGACGTATTTCTGCGATCTATTTTTGTCGTCTTCCGGGGTTTCCCTCGCCAATTTACTAGATCTAGATCTCGCCGAGGTAAGCCCCCTTTGCCGCTCAGCGTGCTATGGGCTATGTCACTGGGCGACAACGCCAGGTTGGTTTCATCGCCAACTGCTTGGTGTGCGTCTGTGTGTACAACTTTGTTTGTTTGTTGTTTTTTTTTATCTTTAGGCCCTAATAAACAATCTCAGCAATTCTCGTTCCATAAATTTAGCTTCTCCTCAGGCTCAAAGTTGTACACACACACATACTCACAAGCATGCGTGCACACACAGCCCAAGGAGTCGACGATGAAACCTAGTGATGTAGATGTAGCCCATCATGCACGCGCTGCTAAAGTTAAGCCACAAGCGGCAAAGCGGGCCCACCACGGCAAGACTTACTCAACTGGCGAGGGTAACCCCGGTAGACGACGCCAATCACAGATGTGTGCTAGGTGCTCACTGAAGCTTCATGTTTATGGAAGAACTTTCTTTTTTTTCCTTTTTTTGCTTCTTCACTGCCACTCAGCCTCAGCTGATCTACTGAACAACTCCAACTTCCTTTCCACACTTCTAACACAGTGCCGCAACACCTAGGGAGTAACATAAATACCCAAGTTCTAAATCTATATCTAAATACACTGTAAAGACGACATAAAACAAAGAAAACGATTCATAAGATGATCACTGATCCAGTGATGACACTACTGGCGCAATGAGTGACGATGGCGATGTCCACTCCTCCAGCGACAACATTTCATTATTTTCTCGGGATATTTAATTTTCTAAAAGTACTGTTGCTCAGGTCAACATTGAAAAGACTGAAAACAGACATCAACGGATTAGAACAAACCATATCAGAGCGGGTAACGTTTACGTACCGATTCGATCATTAGTTTCAAACTGATATTTCCGTTGTGTTTACTGTCTTTCGGTCGTTGTGCCAAAGAAAAGCTTTGTAATGGCTGCTGATAAACTCTCGTGAACTCTCGCTTTTCAAGAGAACTTTGCATAAATCACTTCTAACTTCCGGTTCAACATATTCCTGCCAAATTGGCCAAAGAATGAGTGTCATTTCGCGGAATTTCAGCTGCTGTGCAAGTTTTGCTTGGCCTCGGGCTTACAGCACGTCTCGCCTCGTCGTGCCCAGTTGCTCTGGACTATTACACCTTTAAATTGTAAAAATAAACAAAATACAATGACATGTAAAGCGTTTGTATTTTGTTTATTATATTACACCTTTAAAAATAAACAAAATACAAAGACATGTAAAGCGTTCGTTCTGTGTTATCAGTCCTTCGCGGCACTGTCAGACAGATTCTGCTTCTTAACGGACGTCATCCTCTTTATACCCCTCTCCATTTTCAAACAGTGCTCTTCTCTACTTTCTTCCCTCCTACGTCCCAACCACTTTTTTCTCGCTAACTGTGTCCTTGCTCGCACCACAATTTTTAAGCAACTCCCCTTCCACACGGGAATGCACGCAAGTGGGTGGGGAGGGGGTGTGGGGCACGCTGGGTTCAAGGAGGTGGAGCGGGCCTGGGGAAGGGACGAGGAGAAAGAGAAAATAACCGAATGATTGATAGACAGGAAAAGGTATTGGGGGGGGGGGCTATCTGATTAGAACTGTTCATTTATTTTAAAACTTTATGTAATTATAGTTGTTTTTTTAATCAAGAAAGATTGGCAAAATAATATGAAGAAAACGGTGGTCACATTAACAGAAAATTACCAAACAGACGGGAGAAATAATCTTTCAAGATACATATTATTGTACTAAACGAATTAAATATGATAAGAAATGGTGAGAAACAAAGTACATGTACATGTACTCTAAAATCTATTGAATTTAAAAGGCAATGATTGCACAATTTTAGCTAGGCTAGTGTCATACTAGCTTTATGTATTTATAATAAGGGTGAAAGTGCGTGCCTTTTCCATATGAAAAGCGAACAAAAGCGAGAGTCGATGTCATCTTTATCAGTTTGACATAATTTGTCTTGGTCTGTGAGTGATATTATTGATCAGTGTGACAATTTGTTTCCTGTTTTTCACAAAATGGAGACCCGTCCCAATAACTCATCACATTGTGTTGTGAACATACTTATATCAAGATACACTTTTGTACATACCCCCCCCCCCCCACACACACACACACATAATCTACTTCACCATCCTACTTTATATTATATAATATATAATACATTATATAGCTGCCCGCGCTCACCAGACAGAAGGGGGATAACTCCAAGGACCTGAGAACAAAAGCACTGACGAAATCGCATTCGTTACATGTATTATGTGACCCCGTCTGACTCGGCCTTGTTGGCCTTATACAGGGTGCCCATTGGGGATGGCCTCACTCGTCGCCTGAAAACAATTTAAAAGCGTTTGTTTTTGAGTCGACAAGTCGGGCTGGATCATCTTTTACGCCATGATAGCCGCTTTGTGCCCTCAATTTGGCTAGCTAACCGCCCCGACCAGACTCGATTCCCCCGTAATGGGCACCCCGAATTCTACCTACCGAATCATGCCTTGCTGTAAGCTCAGGCAGTAGGCTGAGAGGCTCATGTAATCAACGCCAGCTTTATTAAAAATTTAGAGTAAAGTAGGCGTTGCTCATATTGCAAGTTCGATGTTTGGAGATATCAAAGGCGTCGATGAGTTCACACCTGGCGTAAGGGCGAAAACATAGAGAACGCGGATTTCGGAGACTGACTCAGTAAGCGCCAATAGGTATAAAAATGCCCTTATGATTCAATGCATGATTTCCAACCTGCCCCACACAGAGCTGGCAGACCGCAGGCGGCTTAAAGCTCGGATCAGCGTTGTCGGCTTTATCAGAATCCAAACTACATTCTCATTACGCCGAAAAACTGGGAAGGGCGTCTTGCTGTCAACACGCGACCTCAGTGCTTTCTTGTCCTATCTCCATCAGTAAAAATATGACTTCTTCCAAAGCTCACTCTTTGTTGTGAACTGCTTTCATTGTTATAAAAGATGGAGATGCGCTTCAAACGCGGGAAGAATATGTCATGAAAGAAGCTGCACGAAGACAACCTTGAGACCATCTTAACCTAAATTGACCGTCTGCATAGACGAAAAGAGCCATATATGTGGAGTCAAGCAGACTCCTACTGACGCCTGTCAGCGTTGATCTTCAGCCGGTTAAGTTTCAGCGTTCTCTATGTTATCGCCCTAAGGTCCTTCATACGTCTGGGGTGGGACGTGCGTCTCGGTCTGGGGCATCGGAGTAGGATCTTAGGGGTGACTTTTGTGTTTGTGTGTGTGGGGGTGGGGTGGGGGTGTTAAACTGCGGAATCTTAAGTGAACCAGGATCATGAAGGGTGGTATCTTAGTAGGAGACTACTATAACAGGGCCTAATAGATTTAAACCTGTTAGAGTTCTATCAAATGAGACTCAAACTCTTTTCTACCGCCCCCCCCCCTCCTCGTCTGATAAGGTTTGGTGTCGTTTTTAATATACTTTCTTTAAGAAGTTATCATCATTGTTGTTAGTCAGGTAGGTCTACTGATTTCATTTCATGTTTTAAAAAAAATATGGAGTCGCTATATATATATATATATATATATATATATACATTTAGACAAGATGGATGGACTTTGAAATATAAGAATAAAGATAACTGATTTAACCCATCTAAGGTATCAAAGAAGCCCCCCCCCCCCTCCCGCTTATTAATTTTCTTTTTTTTTGCGCACCCACAGCTCCTTATTCCACACCCACCGTTTATTATTTTCCAGCTTGAAACGACTGATGTTCATGTGAAACATTATTAAAAATATCTAGAATCTGAATGAAACTGCGTGTGTGTATGTGTGTGTGTGTGTGAGCGTGTGTGTTTGTTTGTGTGTGTGTGTGTGTGTGTGTGTGTGTGTGTGTGCGCGTGCGTGCGTGCGTGGGTGTGTGTGTGTGTGTGTGTGTGTGTGTGTGTGTGTGTGTGTGTGTGTGTGAGTAAATGGCAAATTACCCTCAGTATTAGTTTTGCACCGATACCGGGTTGGCTACCTCAATTTTATGTGCATTTTAAAAACTTTTGTACATTGGTTTATATTTCTTAACGAAACTGGTTTGTTCCTAAATGGGAAAAGTTGTCACAGTAACTAAGGCCCTACTAAAATCACCAAAATGTAATTATCTCTTGTTCTTTAATTCCCTGTCGGAGTAATAAAACAGATTTGTTTCTACTAGTACAGGGGTAGCCTGAGGTTGCATGTGGACCACTTGCCCCCCCCCCCCACACACACACGTTTGCCCCCCCCCCCAACCCATTTTATTCGATAGTCCTACTTTAGAGTATGAAAGCAAGATACACGAAGAGACCTTGACTCGAGATCTTGTCCCAGCAAAATACAGGTTTGCATAGCATAATTATGCAGACACAATGGAAAACAATCTACACATTGACAGATAAAAAAAATTTAAATCAGGTATCTCCTGTCTTTCTGTTGGGGCGTTGCATTTATTATGCACACAAAATGGAAAACAATCTACGCATTACATTTACAATTGGTTTTTAAAATTTAAATCGAGCATCTCGGTCTTTCTGTTGGGGTGTTGTACTCTTAAATGCAACACAAGTGGAAAGCATTTTTACTACAGACTTCCCCAATCTTTAGAAAAAAACATCAGAATAAAACCTTCTGGCGTATGCAATGTAGGGCCTAGATTTATGTAGCTTTCAATGCGAGAGTGGGCAGCGAGGGTCAGGCAGCGCGCTACTCAAGTTGACCATAGTTCCGCGGCGAAGGACGTGCTTCTATTAGGCTAGGCATGGGTTGCCGCCACAGAATTCTACACTTAGAAGTGTAGAATTCTGTGGTTGCCGCCCACAGAGCTGCCTTCATTTACTATAGCCTTACCAGCGAGTATAAGCCTACTCTCTGCTATTTGGCCTACGGCCTACCAGAGGCTATAAATTATAATTTTAAGTCTCTGGGTCTACCCCTTTTGACAAAACCACATTGACCATAGTGTAGCCTAGATTGAGCCGAACGAGGTTTTCGGTTCGGGGCACACCCTGTCGCAAGTGACCCAAAAAACTGGCAAGTTTTCATTTCTTTAATGACGCACTTCCGTTTTTCAGTCCTTTCCGCCGACTGTCTACTCCAAGATGAGGTGTGTATTTTAGTCACTGACCAAATCTTTCACAATCTTTGAGTTTTTAATGGTTTTCTGTCCCATGTTTAAGCATCTTAGTTCTTCCATATATATATTTGCATCTGACATTGTTCTTTTGACTAAATTTTCGTTAGATATTAAAAATTAAATGAAAGACTAAGACTCCTGTGGCCACTCTTACATGGCACAGCAATGCTGTGGACTGGGTGTTTCCTAATTTGTCTTAGCCTAAGACATTGCAATACCACTGTTTAGTATAGCGTATAGGAACATTAGCAAAGAATGACTTCAGCTGTTTCTAGTAAATATAGATTCTAGATCTAGATCTAGTATTAATGTACGAAATGGAAACGACCAATTGTTAAATCAAAAGAAAGTGCAAACATGAAAAATTTGGTGCTTTTTCGGCGGTAGTTCCCACCCCCCTTATTTTACTTTTACTTGAGCCCCCTCGCGGCATACCGTCACCTTAGTGTGTACTTGTTGCTACAGGCAGGCTGGTATCCCAGCTGTTAGCCTATAAATTATGATGATAATAGATCTAGATCTAGATTCTAGATCTACCCATTACTTTGGGCCTACAACTTTTGCGCCTTGTCTGCTTATTTTGGGTGTGGCACTTGAATTGGGATAATCTGGTTGACCGCAATGAATGAATCAATGAATGACTTCTATTACTACCCTACTGTCACTAATGTCCTTACTATCCTACAATCTTACCCCTATCCTTTACTCCAATCCTAACACACGAGTTAAAGGTTAAGCACTATTGATATTTCGGGAGGAGTTCCGCAGAGGTCTGGCCCTTACCGTGACAAGCCTTGTACAAGTACAAGGTCCACACTGCTGAGCAAACTATACAAGAGTTTTGGGGTTAGGGAATACCCTACTCAAAATATCCCCTCTTTTGTATGTTGTTTTTGGGCCAGCCGTCTGTGGAACTCCTTCCAATATTTCATTTGGCTACTCTCGGGACCAAAACCGGAATATGCCTTGCACTCGAGACAGGAGTTCAGCAGAGGGCCGGCCGAACCAACAGCACATAAAAGAGGGGATATTTTGAGTGGGGTGTACCCTTCCCCCAATTCTTGTATTGTTTGCTCAATGGACCTTGTCATGGTATGTGCAGGCTTTCTGCGGAACTCCTGCCCTCGAAGCAAAAATCAGTATGACCAGGTGTGAATTGACTAGGCCTATATTAGGAGGCTTGGCCTATAGAAATTTTGTTGTTATAGGCTTGGGGCCTGCTCTATAGACTATAATAGACCTTAAAGCGTACAATCACGCTTTTTGTTATTGTACTTTTAAAGATTTCTACCTTGTTGTCACCAGGGTTTTTAAAAATGATTGGTTTCATCAGATCAACAGATTCTAATGGAAGATAGCCTGCGTGGAAAAACTTCCGTAACAAACACAAAAAAAAGAGCCCCTAGGCCTCTATTCTACAGTGGAGCTCGGGTTCAACGAGATGAGATAGATTCCCCGTTTCTTTTTCCTTCTTTAAAATCAATAAAAATAACCCGGGTTCAACGAGGTGGCTTCGAGGGTGAACAGCCCCTCAGACGTGGCTTCGCTCTTTTTTCTCCCAGAACGAACTTTATATCTATTCCTGGGGCACTAGCGGTCCGGGCGTTGAACGTTGCAGACACAAACACGTCAGTCTTTTTTCCCCCCCTCGGCAACTGATCATTAATACGTCAGTAATACGATGATAAGCTAGTCTTTAAGTAAATCTACGTAATGAATTGTGCGCTGGTCTATGGAATCAAAAGTTGCCATATATACTAGGCTCTACACAGCAACACACTTTTGGTAAACAATTGAGGGGACACAGGCGTGTGCATTTAATTGATTTAAACTCTTTTTTTTTTTTTTTTTGGACAGCTTATGATATGCAGGCATTTCTGGCACTACTTGTGACTTCCCTTTATACATTACTTGCTCAGTGCCAGTAATTATCTACACAAAACCTTGTGTTTGCTGTAACGGGGACTCGGATTCGAGATTTTAGGTCAGGCCCGGCGACCTCGTTGAATCCGAGTTCCACTGTACTCTGTCTCATAGTGGTCGCTTATTACGGAAGTCCTCTCTCCACTGTACTCTCTCTCATAGTGGTCGCTTATTACGGAAGTCCTCTCTCCACTGTACTCTCTCTCATAGTGGTCGCTTATTACGGAAGTCCTCTCTCCACTGTACTCT